TGGAAAACGGAGTGGATACTTGAATGAAACAAGGCAGGTAAAGTTTCTGACCTTTTCCTACATCAAGATTTGTGAAAAACATGAAAACACATTGGTAAGGAAATCGATTTATTTTAGATATAATAATACCAACATCAGTATGTGAAATCATTGTCTCAACACTTGTTAGTGGAAAGAATATCATTTGCAAAGTGGAAACCGTGGAGAGGTCCAGCTTTCTGCTGCACAGCTTTTTCTCTGTCACGTTTATTTAAGTCTGATATCCGCTGCACAACAACTAATATCCGTTCTCTCATCATGAGGAGAGCATCGATCCAATGCATTGCGGGCAGCTTCTCTGATGGATGCATTGTGGAGATGAATACTGGTCAAGTTACTAATGAGATGTGATTGAGATTCCCATGAGCAAACACTCCAGCTGTCAGACATGATGGGGGAAGAGTTTTCAAAACATAAAGCTTCAACTGCACAGCAGCAATCTCAATCCCAGTTGTTACTGTAGGTGAGTCCTCAGGTCGGGGATGGGGTGCTGCGAGTGAGTCAGCGTTGTCCTTCCGTCGCTAATGGCCAGGAAATGTCTATGTTGGAGAAACTAATTGGATTTCTTTAACAGGAAAGCATCCGTCCAGCTCCATTAGTAAACAGTAACACGCAGCAGAGCGGGAGAAAAGGGGCGGGGGTTGAGAGACAGGAGGTGAGGAAGAGAAGGAAGTATGTTTGTTGTTGTTGCAGTAGTGAGGGGTTTAGCTCGGGGGCAGCTGTTACTGTAAACGTGCGTTATCCAATGAAATGATGATTAGATGAAACAACAGGAGTGGAGCAGGGATGTGTGTGGGTGATGAGCTCATCAGTGGACAGTCCTGGTGTTGTGATAATTCACTTTAACTGCCAGACCACACATCTGACACTTTTTCCTGGATGGAGTGTCTTTTGATGTTGGACGCAGGATAATGTCCTTTCTAAAAATACATATTTGGAGTTTTTCTTTTGGAAGGAACAAAAACTGCTTTACCAAGTTTTCCCTGTGCTGCGCTCCACACTCATCGTAGGTGTACGTGCTGCAGTAGTAGCTCTAATTGCTTAAGAGTGCCTCAGCAAGTTATGCTCAAATTTGTCATTAATACAAAGAGTGCACAGCCACACGTGTCCACCAATATTTTACTTAAAATGTTTGGGGGAAAAAAACGCACTGAAATTTCCGGTAATGTATAAAGCTAAAAGCTAAAACCTTTAATATCCTTTTAGTGTCGACGCTTACATCGTCTTCTTTGATCATTTGGATCACAGCTCATAGATTTTTGTAATGCTAGCAGGGTGAAGCGATGACAGAGCGGAAAGGAAGTGTCATTTGTCTCTAATTTATCACAACTGCCAATAAAATCCATAGCTTCATCAGTCATCGAGTTAACTGTGACTTTAACAATAAATAACAAAGCCTTAAAGCTCTGTTTTTTATGTATAAATGGAAGTAACAGTAGACAGCTGTGTGATGACAGCTGAACTGTGTCCAGGTTACAGGAACAAGAATAAGTCCACCTAAGAAGCAGGATGTGGGCTTATCCGGGTAACTTCAGGTTTAACGCTGTGTCTTCACTATTACAAAGGTGATACATCACCATGGTAACTTATTCTGCAGACTTAACTGGCTCCATAGAAGGTTGTATTTGAGATTAGAGACCAACTTGAATGAAATCACCGTTTAATGACCAATCAGTGCGCCTGAAAATAGCTTCACCAATCCTGTTTGATACCGCAGTAACTGGTGTGCAGAGACTAAAGCGGCTGAAGTCTTTCCGCCATGAGCATCAGTTATAAAAATAGATTATTACAAGAAACTGTATCCCTTAATGCAAATGGTTTTAAAACAGTTTCATTTTTCTTAGTATATATCCAGAAATATAATAATTAGGTAATTATAGCAATTTATTATGCAGATTTTCTTCTTTCTTTTTTTCTTCTTTCATCTCAGACCATAGTTTTCCTCACACAGACACACACACACACACACACACACACACACACACACACACACACACACACACACACACAAACTTACATTGCTGCTTTGTGTGTGGCTGTTTTGTTGCTTCCATCCTGTATTGTGAGCTTGACCACTTCATATGTTTATTTTAGTATCTTTTTATCTTCATTTGTAAAATCAGCTTTGTGCCAGTGGACTTTTCCATGTTTGTGTTTGATCAGAAGTTACCAGTGCTACATGCTAAGCTATGCACTCATAGCTAGATTGATAAACTGTTATAAATAACACACAGTATCATTTTTAACTCACATGTAATTTTAGTCTTTTTAAATATGTACTCACCATGAATCTGGTTAAAAACTGTCAGTGGTTCCTGAAGCTCAAACTGCTTATTGCAGGACACTTAGGAATCATATTTACATTCTCTTAAGCTTCGATTGACATAAACTAAGATGTTTCCTGCCATCGCTCACAATACACAGACACTCAGGAAAGATTAAATCAAACCTGGCAGCCTCATGACCTCCAGGCTATATCTCTCATTGGCATCTCAAGCATCCGCTGAGACACTGGGATGTAAAGTGTAATTTGGGGGTCCCTCCTTTAGATTTAAAGGATGCCTCACATCAGGAGATCCTGGAAGGGGGAAAAACCACTCGGTCTTCAGAGGCAGATCATAAAGGAACAGTGGGGCTACTATGTTGCCTGTAAATTGGGCCTTTCTTCCTGTGAGAGGGTGACATGTTGGAATGCAGCACATTAATGTGGACATGGGTGGGCTTCTCATTCCTGTCATAGCATCTCCCTCTTTCTTTTGACTCGCAACAACTTTCTTCCCTGTTATTTATTTTTGATTCTTTGCCTGTTTGGGGTTTGTTGTATCTCCATCTTGTCCATTTCCATTAGTGGTTAAGCTTTCATTGTTCTTGTTGATATAAGGATGTTATTGCCGAATTTCATATATCTTGGTATGGATGCAAGAAATTCAGGGCCAGAAAAAAAGTTTGATGTGATTTAAAAACAATTTCTCCAACCCTGGGGTGGTTGTAGCTCAGGTGACAGAGCAGGTCAGCCACTAATCAGAAGGTCGGTGGTTCGATCCCAGGCTGCCTCCTGGCTGCATGCCAAATATCCTTGGGCAAGATACTAACCCCATGTTTGCCTACTGGTGGTGGTCAGAGGGCCCGGTGGCACCAGTGTCCGGCAGCCTCGCCTCTGTCAGTGCGCCCCAGGGCAGCTGTGGCTACAATGTAGCTTGCCATCACAGTGTGTGAATGGGTGAATGACTGAATGTAGTGTGAAGCGCTTTGGGGTCCTTAGGGACTAGTAAAGCACTATACAAATACAGGTCATTTACCATTTTACCATTTAACACATGCTTTTCTGCCAAGAAGTTGTTTGGTGTATCCTTAGAGAGAGGAAAGAGGACAAGGAGACTTGGTGGTAGAGTGAATGTTAGTAGAGAAAATTTAAAGTAGGCAGGAAGTAGTGAAGAAAGTACATGGGAGTAGTGGGAGAACTGGGAGGCTAGGCGTACAGCAGGGAGAGGGGTAGGCTGGATTAGAGCTGGGCGATATATCGAGTTTTTAAAACATATCGATATATTTTTATACGAGATATAAGATGTGACAATATCCTTTATATCGATATAGTCTATGTTACGTTATAATTATAGTTGTGGAGCCGCAAGTTTGCCTCTCTTTCGTCCACTTTTGTCTCTACGCGCCGTTACTCCGCCTCGCCTTCACTGAAGACAACTCCCCCTCCTCCCCCATCGCTTCACCTGCAGGCAGCGACAAGACGGACACGGCAAATCTCCGTTAACGAGTTACTGCGCATCGCCCCATGCGTGGGGCTGGACGGCGTCAACGTGCTAACGAGCTAAACATGCTAACGAGCTAACCGCGCTAACGAGCTAACAGCGCTAACCCTAAAATCCTTTCATTCTCTCAAAAGTTGATAGCGCGCCTTATGTATGAATTCTGGTTGTGCTTGATGGCCGCGAACCGATTTTATGTGGTACACGGCGCTCAGCAATCTGTCAGAAATGTTTGAGTACGACTTTGCTAAGCTACGGAGCTGCACCGCTTGATAGATTGTCGGCGCATTACGGCTACCGAAGAGCTTCGCGGAGTGATACGTACTGTGCTTCAACGTAATATTACCGTATTGTGTGTGTATAAAGTCCATAAATGGCACCTGTAAGAGACGTGGTTATGAAGCAGATTTCAAACTCCAGGCTATCAGTCACACAGTAAAACTTGGGAACAGAGCAGCTGTGAAATCTGTCTTTGTTATTACGCTCAGCGTCTTTTAGTTTACATTTTGACTGCACAATTGTGAGCTCTTTGTTTAGCACAAAAACAACCTTGTTTTCTTTTATTTATGGAGCATTATTATTTAATGAATGCTCATAATTTAATTTTGAGTAATTTTTCATGTACATCTGTGCTGTATGTTAATAAAAGTGCCTGTGTGACATCTGGGACACAGCTTTGACTAAGAACTCTCTTTTTGTTCTTACTTTATGGCTTAAAAAAAAATCGAGATATATATCTTATATCGCCATCCAGCTAAAAAATATCGAGATATGAATTTTGGGTCATATCGCCCAGCCCTAGGCTGGATACTAAAGGAAGGACTCATATTAACTGGCTAGACAGAAAGAATAAAGTGTGTCCTGGTATGAAGCTTGATGGTTCCCTGTTGCAGCATTATACTGGTTTGCTGAATCAGTCATATCATTTTAAACTATATTTGCATAAAGGCTGACTGTGCCACTAACTGTCATACAGCAGCTGGCTACACAACAGCTACAGAGCTGTGAAAATAATGCAATGGAAGTCATGTCAGTGAGTCAGAGTGTAACGGTCCTCTTTTAAATGAGAACTTTGAAAAGAGATCAGTTTAAAGCTAAGTAGATAATAGTTGTACGTGCAGCACCGAATTGCTTAATAATCTGGTCAGTTCTTTTAAAAATATATATATGTTGGTGGGTAATTTATTGTATTTTTTTCAGCATGGGCCATAGTGGAGGTGAACATGGAGGACAAAGTGGAGGTAATGGCTGGAGAGACGGCTCAGATCACCTGCATGTTTACAACTGACGAGGGCCTGGGCGGCACCACCATACAGTGGTTCTATGTGAGTTTGGTGAAGCTTAACGTGCACAGAAACACACAGATGTGTGATGGGTGTCACGTTTCTCTGTTTGATTGATGTTTGATTCTGTAAACTCTGACCTTTAGGTGCTACCTAATAAGGAGAGACAGAGAATCTACAACAAGGAACCAATGCATGAGGCTGCAGAACAAAACACACTGTTCACGCATCGGATCAGCTTGAACGTCAATGGAACCGCTGCTGTGCTGGTTATCAGAGATGTGGGAGTGAGGGACAACTTGGAGTTTATCTGTGTCATCAAAACTCTCACACCTGAGGAAGCAGAGGGACGAACCCAGCTCCAAGTGTTTAGTAAGACTCTGAAAGCTTTTATTGCATTTTCTATGCTGTCTGCTCTCTCGCACTGAAACGGTTGTTTTCATTAAGCAAGTCATCAGTATCCTCTCTTAATGTATGCTGCTCCATATTTTCCATATATTTCTTACTGCTGCTGCTACAAGTTAATGGATCAACTTCAGATATTGTATCTCCTTCATTTGCTTTGGAAGAAAAACAAAAGAAGATGGAACAGACCTCACCTGTTCATGAAACTGCTTACCAGTCTTCCTGGCCAATTACCTTTTTTTTTGTCCAATTTAGGTCCAATTACTTTGCAAAACCTCTTAAATTAAAAACTGCTTTCAAATCGCATTTGGATTTTTCGATTTACAGTCCACTGTGTCCGGAGGCAGAGATTGTGTCTTTGTCCAACAAATTATAGAACTCACTGTATTAACATAGCTATAGTGTTACAATATTTCTGAAATTTTTAGCTATCAGAATCTATGATTGTTTCTTTCTAAATGCTTCCTTTTCTAGTTCTTATCCTTTCTTACGTCTTGTGCAGAATCACCAACCTTTCCTACAATTGAGGCCGTGGAAACAGGGATATCAGTAAATGAAAAAGATCCATCCAAGGTGAAAAGGTTTTGGCGATCACAAACATCAAAGACTAAAATTACAAAATGCGAGGATGCAATTTTATCATTTGAATTTCCTTACCTACCCCCTCTCCCACTAGATTGGGTCTTGCAGGGTCAAAAACGGATACCCAAAGCCAAATATCACTTGGTACAGAAACAACATGCCGCTTCGCAATACTCCACGTGGTAAGGCAGATTGATATTTAAAACTGGAATGCCTTAGCTGTTTCAGTTTGTGTCTGTCCTGTTCTTTTATGTTTACAGTATTTTTATTTCTTTCAGAGGTGGTTGTAACCTCCAGCACCACTATTGAATCGAGTGGTCTTTTCTCAGTCCAGAGTGAGCTGACAATGAAAGTTAAGAAGGAGGACAAAGATGCAGTGTTCTACTGCGAAGTCATCTACTTTGTCCCTGGAGCGACCAAGATGACCGAGAGTCAGCACATTAACATCACTGTATACTGTGAGTTTCACTAATTGAAACCAAACTGGCTTGCATTTGGTTTCCAGTTCATGCAATGTTCTTGCACACCAAACTAGAAAAACTAGAAACAAACTAGAAGAAGTTTCTTAATGGATCTGTTTTGATATTTTGAAGTGGAAATGGATGCTATAGTTTCTCATGAAGTTCACTAAGTTAAAATAACACTATTGTTCAAGTATTATAGGATATTATACTAATAACATTTTCCTTAATTTGATTTGACAGGCCTCAGTTTCCTATTTTTAAGGATAGTTCAGGTTTGCAGTTTAATCTTGAATTCATCTCTCTGTGTTTTAGATCTCCCCACTGAAGTAACTATTTGGGTGGAGTCACCAAAGGGCAAAATCAAGGAAGGGGACACACTTGAGCTTCGCTGCGATAACAATGGCAACTATCCATCCTCAATCACCACAATTAAGCACCAAAATGTAAGAAAATCAGCACTTCCATACTCCTCATTTATGTGGAAATGGTTGCAATTCGATGTTTTCCTGAGCACTTTGAGGACATTAAAGTTAATCTTGAACTTTGCAGAGTGAATACTCTGTGGAGAACAAGACTATGGTGCGGACTAATGTGAAGCGTTTAGACGGTGGAGTTTATGAGTGCACCTTTGAGGAAACGGATAACTTTGAGGAGATCTCAGGGAGTACTAAGGTGTCGGTTAACTGTAAGTGTTTTACTCTGGATGAGCTTTTCATCAAATACATTTTAACAGTAGGTTCTCTGTTTGACTTGTATGCCTTGTTTCTCTGTCTGTGTGTGCAGACCTTGAATCTGCTGTTATAACGCCTAAAGACAGCATTGCGGTGATGGAAGGAGAGGAGCTGAAGGCCAGCTGCAATGCCCTGTCTTCTCTCCAGACATCCACAACCTGGTTTAAGGTTACATAGATACATACATATATACAATACAACTGCTTGTCTAACAGTAACAAGTAAGCTGCATCTAGAAAACAATCATTTCACACTGTGGCAGAGTCGTACCAGCAGTTAGGTTGACTAGAGGCCTCTAACAGCTATTTCACCCAGTACTTATATGCTCATTTAAACGTGTTGAGTCAAACAAGCTTTTTTTGTTCACCTTTGTCTAGAATGAAAAGTTGGTGTCAAAAGGCAACACTTTGAGTGTGAAGAGCGCAACGTTAGAAACAGCAGGGATGTATAAGTGCGTTGTGACCGTTCCTGAGATGGAGGGGATGAAAACCAGCAGCACACTTCAAGTCAATGTTAAGGGTGAGTTGTATTTTCTTTAAATGAGACCATGTCCAAAGTTTGTGACTGCATAGTTATTGCATAAGGTTGTATTTCTTGCTACTCATTCTGCAGGTTCGCCACAGATTTTGGGGCCAGATGTCCAAGAAGTGGAGACTTATGAGACAACTGTTAATCTGACCTGCAGTGCCACAGGGTTTCCTGCTCCCACAATTATGTGGACAACTTCTGATGGGAAGGTACAGCAGAGGGAAGCTTGTCATTCTCGGCTTAGTCACAGCCACAACAGAGATCTGCTTATTCCAGTTGTGACTTCAACAGGTTGATCCAAAGTCCTCCAGACCTCCATTTTGATAAATGCGTCCAGTGGGACAAATAGTGGAACTCAATTTTTAACTTGAATTTTAAACTTAACTTAAATGCATTTTCTTTCCAATACTGTTGTGGTATTTTGCCGTTTATGGCACACGATTAAAAAAGAGCTGGCTGGTGGACTGTGGGTGAGACTTCACATTAGTAGAGTATGGTCTTCACTTTTGAACAGTTTTAATAGTCTTAGTAACCACAAATCAGCAAGTCCTGAACAGATTAGCAATACAGATGCAGGAAAATTGAACAAAATGTTTCAACAACTACCGGACATTTTGTGCCTCGAGATATTTTGTGCAGTGATTTGTTTTATGATTAAAAGTGTGTGTTAGATATGTCCATCAGCCTCAGTTATGCAGTTGTTTAGTGCTAAAAGCACTAAAGCATGCTAACTTTCTAGAGCAAAATGGTAAAAATGGTTAATTAGCATTAGCATGCTAACATTATCATTTAGCTGACATCACATCAGATTCTCACTGATTTAAGCAGCACTGGGTGGTAGTGGTGCAATGGATCAATAAACTCACGGTTTGGATCAGATCACGGTTTTAAGTCACGGATCGGATCAATTTTCGGATCAGCAAAAAACGAAACAAGACAAGAAAAATTAATTTTTTTGCCCATTAAAAAACATTCAACTCAATACTCATTCCACGCAATTATATAAAAAACAAATTAGGTGCTATATAGGGCAGTACAGGGCTTTGTATCTACCACTCCGCTGTGATATAATGAGCGGTTACGGTCACATAGCTTTCCGTTGCCCTGGAGGTCCACCCATCTGTAGTTAGGGCAACAGAAGATGCCTGACTTTTCCTGCTCATACATGCTTGGAACGATCTTGTCAGTGAAGTGGACACGCAACGGGATATCATAGCGTGGCTCAAGCACGTTTATCATATGTTTAAACCCCTTGTTTTGCACAATGGAATAGGGCCTCGTGTCTGGAGCTATAAACACCCCAATAGCTTTTGTAATAGCTTTAGCACGGTCAGATTAGGCAGCAAAGGGCTGCTTAAATGCCGCAAACTCCTCTGCTCTTTCACTTGGAGTGCTAGCGTTGGCCATGACTATTGCAGACAGACTGACCACGCCCACCATACACATATTTTTTTTCTTTTTCGAATCTTTGGATCACCGAACCATGGAGTGGGATCGGTTCTGATCACGGATCAACAGTGATCCGTTGCGCCACTACTGGTTGGATTTTACAGAGTTAGAAATAAATTTGATTGGACTGACAGAGCTAATGCTAGCTAATGTCTAGTTTACCTTCACGATGATGATGGGCATGCAAACCTTTAGTCTTTGGAAGTCTATATCAATATTGTGCTCAACTGTCTTCTCACCTGTTTGCTCTTGGATCTGCTTTTCTATTTCTGTCTTTAACTGTCCTTTTTGCAGAACCTAAATGCATTGCAAACAGAGACTGAAGATGGCGCTCAGAGTGTGGTCACTTTCAAGATCACCTCCAATGTGAAAGTTTTCTGCAATGCCAGCAATGACTTTGGCTCTAAAGTGGTGGAGTTCAACATCAAAACCAGTGAGTTCTTGCAGCCTGTGCTTCCTTTCTGCAATCTTTGTAGTTAGTAGTTCAGTCAGGTTCGTCACGGAGTTTAGAGTTCATCTTAGCGCAGATGGCTCATCATAGATGGCTGATCACAAGATTTTTCTACGGACACCACTGCATTCGACGAAATCCACTGCTTTTGTTTGAATCATATATTTCTGTTAGTTTTCTGTTCCAGCTATTAATACAAACAAGGATTCTTTCTTACATGGAAAAGTTACTTATGGAGTTCTTCTGTGTCTACATGTTTCTGCTATGCAGATGATGTTGAGTTGTATTTATCAAACGACATGACAAAAATCAGTTAATTAAGCTAGACATAAAGGCCTTCATCTATGAAATATTGGTAAACAGCGGGTTCAGGAGACAGACTCTGCTTTTAAGATTTGGCTTCGAGCCTTGTTCATAAAACAGGTGATCCTGGAAAAGTCCTTAGTTATCCTGCTGTAGGCTCAGGCTGTTGGTGGACTTCATGAGGTCCACTGACCAGGTCTTTTCCACTCCCCTCTTTTCACTCTTGATATGTTTATATGTCAGTACTGCATGTCATTAACTTTAGTCATTTCTCTTCCAAAGTTTTTCTCCCTATTTTTTTCTCTTCTCTTTCCATTCACCCTCCATTCTGACCACGGGGGAGTTCTTCCTTCCCTCTGTCGCCAAGTGTTTGCTCAAAGGGAATCCTCTCATTGTTGGGTTGTTCTCTCTAATATTAAGGCGACTGTTGTGAAATGGCACTTTACATAAAAATGAACCGAACATGCCTGCATGTTTTTATTTGTTCTCCTCACTTGCCACTTTTACTTATGTCCCTCCCCCCTCATGTCTCTATTCATTTTCATCTAAAGGTCTTGAGTTTTGCCACATGATGTAACGTCTTGTCTGTGATTGTTCAATCTTTATATTTTTTGTTGTTGTTTTTCACATTCTTCACCCTGGTAACCCACATGTCGTTTAACGGGCACCCATGTGTAAATAACAAAATGACGTCCTTTCTGTGCCTCTACCTGCTTTTAGTTTTAAACACCACATTAACAACAATCACTTCCATGCCAACAATCAGCACTACCACACGATCAACCACTACTATATCCAGTGACACAGGTAAGACCACAGTTACACTGCTGTGCCTGTTTTTCATCATGCAAATGAAACCAGCTGCTAAATGCAAAATTAAATTTGACTGGGAAAGAGAGATTTCTAACTTGTCAGAAAGCTCCCAGCTCGAATTTGCGAGACAGGCACACTCTCTGTTTTTACCACGAGGCTTCAAACATTTCCTTTTGAAAAAGCTCATAATTATAACTGGAACTGGCGACCATGAACCATGCCTTACTTGTGCTGCTATCGGCTGAGACTAATGTTACTCCCATGATGCACTGAGCATTTCTACATTCTTTTCATTCCCTGTGTGTTTATATGTAACTACTGCATGCTATTGATTTTTGTCTGTCTTATATCTTATACTTTGTGTTCTGTTCTTGGCTCTTCATGCTCTCCTTCTTTTCTCTTTCTTTACACTCACTGGCTGCCCCTCCATGAGCCGGTTTCTGCTGGCAGTCTTCCTGTTAAAAAGGAGTTCTTCTTTCCCACTGTCACCAAATGCTTGCTCATAGGCAATCCTCTTATTGTTGAGTTTTCTCTTCATCTAAATGGCCTAAGCTCTGCCAAGTGCCGTAACCTGTTGTTGTGACTGTGAATATTTCACTCTGTGTTGTTGCTGTCATTTTGTACCTGTGCTGTTTAGTGTGTACCCTTGTGTAGTAACAAACATGACCTCCTGTCTGTGCGTCTAACTGTTTTTAGTTGTACACACCACACCAACAACCACCACTACCACATCAACCAATACTATAACCGATGACACAGGTAAGATCACGATTACTCTGCTGTGCCT